AGCATGTCTAAGTATGAAGAAAAGAAATTTTTAAAAAGTTTGGGGAATTCTAAGGAAGCAGGGCTTTGTTTTGTATTGGACACTGTTAGGATGTAGGATGATTCTATGTTTAAGTGTCTTAATAAATTTTATTAAAAGAGGTTGGGCTGGAGTAGAGGAAAACTTAAAATTCTGACTGGTAAAGAAACAGCAGTCACTCATATTAGCCAGGAGAGGGGGGTGTTTGGCATTTTGTAGGGTGCAGGGTGACCTTATTTTTTTTGTCCGGGCTTAGACAAAGTTTAGAAGTGTTTTGTCTCAATTTACCTTTGTATCTGAGTGAACTTGTCTGATAGTGATGTTTTGTTACATTGTTCATGTCCAATAGGAGAGTAACACGGCCTCCCATGCCAGCTTTGAATAATACTAAGGCCTACAGCTGGACATGTCTGAGCAGTTTCCAGATGTCAGGGACTGCTTTTTTGCCTTCTCAGACTCATTAAGAATCACTTGAAATCTGTTTATACCTATAGTACTTTCAGTAATTTATATAGTTTCATTAAATAGTATATAAAACACTGGAATTACTATACAAAGAAAAGAATTATCTATAAAAATCAGGTTGAATGTTTTAGAAAGATTTATTAAGGCAAAATGCTAAAAGTGTGGGGCTGGGGTTTTGGCTCAGTGTTAAGGTGTTTGCCCAGCATGTGTGAAGCACTAGGTTCAATTCTCAGCACTACATATAAATAAATGAATAAAATAAAGCCTACCAACATCTAGAAATACATGTTAAAAAATGCTAAAAGTGTTTTTTAAATGGCTGTTGAATTAGGGATGGGCAGGCAAAATGGCCTTTCAGAATATATTGTTAACCAGACGGATCCTACATGTCAATTACTTTACATACTATCTTCTTCTTTTTTTTTTTTAAGAGAGAGTGAGAGAGAGAGAGAATTTTTTTAATATTTATTTTTTAGTTTTCGGCAGACACAACATCTTTGTATGTGGTGCTGAGGATCGAACCCGTGCCGCACGCATGCCAGGCGAGCGCGCTACTGCTTGAGCCACATCCCCAGCCCCAGACATACTATCTTCTGAGTCTTGCTTCACCTTAGAGAAACTCACATTGTAACAAGTGAAATTTATTCACTTCCCAAAATTTAATTCAATCCAAAATATAGTACAAAAAGAAAGGCATCTGAGACCAATCAAAACAAAATCTTTATTCTCCTTATTTTTTTTTCTTCTTCAGGATAAAAAGCAGGTAAATAATTGGGATATTAAAGAAACTTAAATTTTAAATTGCAAGTGATATATTATGAGTGTGATTTATATAGTAAAGATGATATGGGGGCTGGGGTTATGGCTCAGTGGTAGAGGACTTAACCTCGCACATGTGAGGCACTGGGTTCAATCCTCAGCACCACATAAAAATAAATAAAAAGATATTGTGTCCATCTACAATTAAAAAAAGAAAAGTTAAAAAAAAAAAAAAGATGATATGGAACTCTTGTTCCTAAAGAGCCTTAAAGACATCCTTGGCCTTTAACATACACATGAATTGATCCACTTTATATGTTTTAAATTTTAAAAGTTTGTATGGTTCCTTGCTTAAAGCAATATTTTAAATTAACCTACAACCAATCCTGATTGTGTCAAGTCAGAGGCTTTTACTATACAAAGAAATTTATGTAGCAATTTAGGTGCAAAATTTTCACTGGAGGGCTGGGGATGTGGCTCAAGCGGTAGCGCGCTCGCCTGGCATGCGTGCGGCCTGGGTTCGATCCTCAGCACCACATACAAACAAAGATGTTGTGTCCGCCGAAAACTAAAAAAAAAATAAGTATTAAAAAAAAATTTTTTTTTCATTGGAATTTGATAATTGTTAAAGACAATTTGGTATTTTCAAAAGATAGAATAGTATATATAGTTATTAAGTCATGTTTTTAGATATTTATTATAAGAAAAATGCTCATATAATCTGAAATATGAAGAGTGGGCTATAAAACCATGTACAATTATGACTGCAGCTTTAAGAATGGGCATGTAAATATTTAATATGCAAAGTATACATATATAATTAAAAGGAAATGAATCAAGGATTTGATAGAAGTTTCCCCAGATGCTAGAATTTCAGAGGGTTTTTAATTGTATCTTCTGTGCTTTCCTGATAGTCTGTAAGTATGTATTATTTTTCAAAAACCAGGGGGAAATGTTCTTTAAGAGCCCCAATGTTTGTGGTTTTTAGAAATGTACTTGTGTTACTGTGAGTCTGACTCTTTGCTCAGTGTGTTTCATCCGTTTCTGAAGCTTTGTGTAAAAGAACTATTAAGGTTCCCAGTGTTCTTTAATGTTCCAAAGAAGAAGAGCAAAAAGTACTGGCATGATTTCTTTAATGTGGGGCTCCTTTGGGTTTAATTGACAGGCTGGTGTTTCAAACTTCTAAGGTCTAATATGGATAACACCCATGAATTAGGCCTTTTTTGCCTGCCCTCACCTGACCAGGCAGAATTAATCACCCCTTCTCTGTGCCTGTGTTAATATTCTTATTTTAGTGCTTTCCATGTTTTGTTAAAAAACAAAAACCAAAAAAAACAATGCACATGTGTGTCTTCCCCCCACCCCAGCCATACTACATTGCATGTTCCCTGAAAGGAAGAAGGGAATGACCTATCTTTGTATTCTTAGTACAAAACACAGACCTTTGCTTCTCAGTAATTGGCCAAATGTCTTGAGCAAATACACAATAGTACCTCCTCCAATGTGCAGATTTCCTGAAGGAACATATAAGGAATTTGTCTTAACATATCAGTTATAATTTAGAAGAGCAGAGGTTTTCAGTGCTAAACCACAGCACAGTGAAGAGTATCAGTGAAAGGAAAGCAGCCCATCAACAGCAGACTTTGAGTTTCTTCCGAGGATTGTGGATTGTTTTCACAACAGAACTACATGTGGTGAGCATATAAATTGATGTAGCTATTTTGGAAAGGCACTTGAGCAATATCTGTCAAATATAAAATGCATGTCACCTTTGCATCTGTAGGAATTTAGCCTCTAAATACACTTTTCATAAATAGTCATGGGCAATACTCATTAGAGGCTGTTGTTTGTAATATGTTTCTGAGTAGGAGATTGTAATGTTACACAGAATATTAGCAAATATATCTGTGATGGGGGTGACAACGATGATGACCCTGGCTTTTCTTTATTAAAATACATATTATAGCCAGTTGTGGTGGTGTGCACCTATAGTCCCAGCTACGAGAGGCTGAGGCAGGAGGATCACTTGAGCCCGAGTTCAAAACTAGCCTTGACAACATAGCAAGATTCTATCTCTAACAAGAACAGAAATAAAAATAAGCATCATATGCCAGGCAGTGTGCCATTCATTTGACATGTTTTATCTAGTAATTCTTATTACAACCATATGGAAGAAACGGTCACCTGTTTTGCAAATGAGGAAACTGACCCCACAGAGATTAAATAACTTGTACAACAGCTAGTAAAGGGCAGACCTGATATTCAGTCTAGCACTTTTAATCGCTAAAATGCATGTTGTCCACTCTACTGATGGAAAAGAATATATTAAGTGAAAAGCGGTTTAGGATGGGGAGGGAGAAAAGCAGTTCAGTATTGAATGTATAGTATACTATCATATGTTTTTAATTTAAAAAAAGTGATAGCACACACTGGAAGTAAACACAACAGAGGCTTTTTACAAGAAGAGATAAATGACCTTTTACCAATATATGTATCTTTTTCTTTTGTGTTTTGATAGCAGGTATGTATTACTTATGTAAAATTTTAACTAAAGTAAGTGGAGATAACATTTCAAAAAATTCTAGTATTTAATGAAGACTAAGCTGAAATCAAGCAATAAGTGCTTTGTTCATTCCTACTTACATAACTTTATGTTGGGTTCTCCTTATTCTAATGACCTACCTTCAGCTCTCAATCCAAGATAACAGTTAACTTCCAAATTCACTTCTGCAGTTCATAGCTTATCTTATCCTACTTTGAATATCTTATCCTACTTTGAGTGTTTGATTGACATAGCACAAGTATAAATTTTTATTCTTTTAAATTACTTTCATTTTCCCCAAAGAGTTTGAGACTACTTACAGTAAGATATAGTTAAAGATGAACATGATAAAACTGTAAATATTGAGATTACAATTATGTAATCTTAGCAGAGTTCTACATTTAACTTTTAAGTTTCCTGAAATTGCAAAAAAGTAAAGGATTTTGATTTTTTTGTGTGTGTTTGTATGCGTGTATACTACTAGGGATTGAGCCCAGGGGCATTTAACCACTGAGCCATATCCTCAGCCCTTTTTTATATTTTGTTTAGAGACAGGGTCTTGCTTAGTTGTTTAGGGCCTTGCTAAGTTTGCTGAGGCTAGCTTTGAACCTGTGATCTTCCTGCTTCAGCCTCCCACACTGCTGGGATTACAGGCATTTGCCAGCACACCCAGCAGGATTATGAATTATTATTATTTGATAAGAGGACACACACTTTTTTGTCTGAAGAAACAGTTTTTTCTGATTCTAAATTTTTTTAAAAATTTGTTTCTTGGACCCTTTTATACAATTTATACTTTTTTAGTTGTTTTGTGATTTTGTTTTTTTTTCTCCCCAACTAAATTATAAGCTTCCTTAGGACAAACTCCTTTTTCCATACTATTTTTGTTCCATCTCTGCCTAGAAAACATGCACTTATTATTATGGCTGAAAGGAACAGTTGCAGCACAGCCACATTTCATGGATTATGTTACCACTACTTTTCAAAGACTTGATCTTTGATACCACTTTCATCCTCCTCAGCAGGGAATCTTCTCTGATAGTCTTCCAAAAAAATCATAATTTATTTCTTTGCATGTAGCTTTTACTGAGTTCTGCCTTACAACCCATAATTTCTAGCCAAGTACACAGTGTGAAAAATTGGAAATTTGTTTGACTCTTGTTTTGTGAAAGTCACATCTTTTTAAATATGACCTATACCTTTTCTTTTCTCTTAGGTCAAGTTATCAAGGCATGGGACATTGGGGTGGCTACCATGAAGAAAGGAGAGGTCTGCCATTTGCTTTGCAAACCAGAATATGCGTATGGCTCAGCAGGCAGCCTCCCTAAAATTCCCTCAAATGCTACTCTTTTTTTTGAGGCAAGTATATCTCTGAGCCTTGTCAACATCTGTTCTGCTATAGGGTTGCCTTTGAAACAGCAGTCAGTGAATGGAACAAGGAGCTGAGCTTGCTATTGAGAATCAGATCCAACTTATTTATTTTGGAGCTTGGCTTCTTGAATTATTTCCCACAAACTATAGGGATGTGTGCCAGTGCTTTCTTAGAAACGTGTCTCTGGCACAGAAAGGGCATATCCAAATAAACAAAAGACACTAGACTTAAAAATAAAGGTTCTGGGCAGAAGTATAAGTCTGACATACTTAGAAGTACAAGGATGAAAGTGGTGGAGATAAATGTTGAAATATGCCTATACCAAATTTTAAGTTATTTTCACATCATAAAGTTTTATAAATGTCATAGATCTGTCTTTATTAGAAGTAGTAGGTTGTGATATGCTGTTTTTCCTATTTTGAATTAACTATACATGTTTGTAAAAACCTAATATTAAGAACTGTTCTAACTGGGTGATACACACTTTCAGTCAGTTGTAGGCCAGATTCCTAGGATTTATTCTTATATTTTGAAAATGGAACTTCATAACTTTGGGGTAGAAAAGTGGTGGCCTCAGAGTCAGACATCAAGTTCTGTGCCAGCACCTTGTCACTCTGGCTTTTTGCCCACAAGGCAGTTTTCCTAGTATTTCCTGTCTGTCTTTGCACTGCAGCCCCACAGGATATAGTCCTAGACATTATCCTTACACAAAGTTCTTTCCAAGTATTGAAAAGTACGGTGCGTTTTTTTCCCCTATTTTTCCAATAACAAAGTTTTTTAAAAGTTTTATTTGTAAAATGAAAGAAAAATCAGTTGCCTTTACATATGTTAAATTGGCTTTGTTTGATTCTTTCTCAGCTAAATCTTTTTTTCCTTTCTAGATTGAGCTCCTGGATTTCAAAGGAGAGGATTTATTTGAAGATGCAGGCATTATCAGGAGAATCAAACGGAAAGGAGAGGGGTATTCAAACCCAAATGAAGGAGCAACTGTAGAAAGTAAGTATAAAACTTGGGTTCTATTTAGTGGATGAAATGGAAATTGTTTTAAAAACTCTGCTTATAGAAATAAACATTGAATATACCTCAAGAATAGTTTTAGATTCAACATTTATTTAAATGACTTCATTTAGTAAGTATTAATTTAACGTGTGCATGCCAGGCACCCTGCCGGTCTCGATGAACTCCAAAATGAATAAAAGGCAATTCCATCCATCAAGGAATTCTCAGTCAGGACTCTTTGGGGGTCCCAACAACTATATTAATAGTCTCACATATTTATTAATTTGTGTCTCACGATGACCTTATGAGATAAGATTTATTATCCCCAGGAGAAAAAAGTGAGTTCAGGGATGCATAAAAATTGCCCAAGCTTACAAAGTTACTAAACAGAACACTGGATTGTAATCCCTTTTAGGACTCTCAAACCCATCTCCCTATGATAACTGATTGTTCTTCTTCCCTCCCAGAACACATTGTATATACCACCCTGTATAGGACATCTTTCTATCTTTCTTTCTTTCAATATTTCAATATTTATTTTTTAGTTTTAGGTGGACACAATATCATTATTTTATTTTTATGTGGTGCTGAGGATCGAACCCAGTGCCCTGCGCATGCCAGGCGAGCGCGCTACCACTTGAGCCACATCCCCAACCCAGGACATATCACTTTATATTACAATGAGTATTTGCCTGTTTCCCCAAGTATTTAGTGAGCATTTGAAAACGAGCATCTTTCTTTATCTTTTTATTTTCAGCATTTGCTTCAGGGTCCAACACATATTTGGTATTTAGTAAAACTTTCTACATGTATAAATGTTTAAAAGATACCATTATTGATTTGAATCCTTCAAAAAGGAAACATAAAGAAATACTTGCATTAAGAAAAACTCAAGGCTGGGGTTGTGGGTCAGTGGTAGTGCGCTTGCCTAGCATGTGTGAGGCACTGGGTTCAATTCTCAGCACCACATACAAATAAATAAAATAAAGGTCCACCAACAACTAAAAATAAATAAATATTTAAAAAGAAAGAAAAATTCAAAAGCCTAAAGGTCCACCAACAACTAAAAATAAATAAACAAATGAACAAACAAATAAATAAATATTAAAAAAAGAAAGAAAAAGAAAAATTCAAAAGCCAGGTGCAGCGGCATGCACCTATAGTCCTGACTACTTGGCAATCTGAGACAGGAGAATTTCTGGAGTCCGGCAGTTCAAGACCAACCTGAGCAACATAGCTCATTGTGCTCTATATGTGTACTTTGAATTGAAATGTGTTCTGTCATGTGTAACAAATTAGAATAAATAAATAACGTTTTAAAAAATGAAAAAGAAAAAACCCAAATCACTAAATAACATGAACTATTATTATAAAAGGTTTATTTAAAATAAAGAGTTACCAAGTGTATTGGCAATCTCAGCAACTTGGGAGGCTGAGGCAAGAGGATCATAAATTCAAGGCACTGAAGTCTGGATAACTTAGCTAGACCCTGTCTCAAAAATTTTTTTTAAAGGCAGGAGCTGGGCACAGTCACACACGCTGGGATTACAGCCTGTAATCCCAATGGTTTGGGAGGCAGAGGCTGGCTTTGAATTTGCAATCCACCTGCTCTAAGCAACATAGCGAGACCCTGTCTCTAAATACATTTTAAAAAAAGAGCTGGGGATGTGGCTCAGTGGTTGAGTGCCCTGGGTTCAATCCGTATTATTTAAAACAGTTAACCAAAATAGTTGATGTTCTTGTTTTTTTTTTTTTAAAACATTTTTAGTTGTTATGGACCTTTATTTTATTTATTTGTATGTGGTGCTGAGAATTGAACCCAGTGCGTCACACATGCTAGGCAAGTGCACTACCACTGAGCCACAACTCCAGCCCCGATGTTCTTATTTTTAATAGTGTAGATACTACTTTGGAACTGTATTTCGTTTCCAAAGTCTATGTTACATCAAATTTAGTTGTCTTTTTATTGAAAGGAGTTGTAAATATTCAACAAAATATTGTAGTTGAAGTGTTTAGAACATTGTCATTTGTGGTAAGTTTTACACTAAATGAAGAGGTCATCAGATGTATGTCAGAGAAAGAACCCAGGCCAGAAATCAGGAGGTAGGGTTCCAGGTGTAGCTAGACCTCACTTCTGGTCTTTTGACTCCTTTTTGGACATTGAAGTAGGGGTTGGACCTCTGGTTTCTAAGGTTCTACCAGTCCTAAAAATCTGTGATAGAATTCTAAAGGTTTATGAAAGCTATGGAAATGATCAAAAATTGTCTTCACTATTTTAATAGACACTTAAATTTATTTATATCATTTGTTTAATTTTTTATTATGAAAAGTTTCAAATGCATATACAACAGCTTTTTTCCTATGATAGAGAAACTCCTCAGATTAAAAACACATTATGAGTTGTTGAACTCATAATGTGTTTTTAAACTGTAGATTTTTGTCAGACGATTATAGACAAGATCTTAAAACTGTCACTATAGTCGAAATTAGATCTTGGTTTTGGTAATACTTTCAATGGGAATCATATTTTAACTGTTTTGAAATAATTTTAGACTTACAGAAAAGTTGCAAAACTCTTACAAAAAGTTCCCTTATGTGCTTCACCCAGCTTCCCCTAATGTTAAAGATCTTACCTAACCACAGGACATTTATCAAAATCAGGAAATTAACATTGATAACAATACTGTTAACTGTCTGCAGATCTTACTTGAATCTAACCAATTACCACAATAATGTCCCTTTCTGATCTAGGATCAAATTCAGGATCTAGTAGTATATTTAGTTGTCATGTCCCTATAATTCCCCTCCAGTGTGATAGGTCTTCAGGCTTTGTTTTTCATGACTCTGGCACTTTTGAAGATGACTGGCCTTTGTGTAGAATATCTTTCAGTTTAGTTTCCTCTGATGTTGAGGTTATGCATTTTTGAAAAATATCATAGGAGTGATGTTGTGCCCTTCTGGGTTCATCATTATCAAGAGGTACATGGTTTTGATGTCTCATTACTGCTGATAACTTAGATCTCTTGTTTTAGGTGAAGTCTGCCTTGTTTCTCTTCTATTAAAGTTACTATTTTGCACTTTGTAATTACTAAGTATTTCATTAAGAAAAATGCTGACACTGTGCAGGTTGGTTCACATCACACCTTCATATGCTTATTATCATTAATGATTAGCATTATCATATGCTCATCCATTAATGATTAATGATTTTTGGATAAAATAATGATTACTGTGGTATTTGACTAATGGCAATTTTTCTATTTCCATTGTTCTTTCCAAATTTATTAACTGAAATTCTACTGTCAGGAAAAGCAGCCTTTTCTCCCATATGTATATATTGTTTATATCATTATGTATCTGTGGGTATTTATTTTCTTCTGTTAGTCATTTTTCATTACTATTCTTATTTTATTGCTCAGATTATACCAGATTTGGCCATTGAAAACTTCTTTAAGTTGGCTTTTTTATTTTTTCAACATATCCCCATTGGGTTTTTTGTTTTGTTTTGTTTGGGGGCATTGTTTTTGTTTTTGCACTTCCCTATTTTCTGATGCTCTAGGCTCATCTTAAAATTTCTTTGCTCCAGGCCTAGAATCAGCCTTGCCTCCAAAGACCACTTTTATTAGAAAGGGGTATTTAGAAACCAAGATCTGGGTGCTAGGTGTGCTTGCACTGTAGGACTGCTTCTAGAATGTCTTAGCAGACAGAGGCAGGAAGTGTGTGTGTGTGCGTGCGCGCTCTATGTATTTCTTTTTCAATCTTCATATGTATTAAGAATCATGAGTAAACTGGGCATGGTGGCATATGCCTGTAATCACAGTAGCTTCGGAGTCTGAAGCAGGTGGATTGTGAGTTCAAAGCTAGCCTCAGCAATTTAGTGAGGCCCTAAGCATATTAGCAAGACCCTGTCTCTATAAATAAAATATAAAGAGGGCTGGGAATGTGGTTCAGTGAGTAAGTGCCCCTGGGTTCAATCCCTGGTACCAAAAACAATTAAAAGAACTCTGAGGGGCTGGGGATGTGGCTCAAGCGGTAACACGCTTGCCCGGCATGCACGGGGCGCTGGGTTCGATCCTCAGCACCACATAAAATAAAATAAAGATATTGTGTCCACCAAAAACTGAAAAATACATATTAAAAAATTCTCTCTCTCTCTTAAAAAAAAAAAAAAAAAAACTCTTGAGTACATGCTGACAGTTTCAGTTCACTGCCACAGATTTGTTCTCCCTTTGCTCATTTGAAACTTTTTTCTTATCTGTGCTACCCTAGAATGCTTATGAAGTAGTCTTAGCATTACTAACCCATGGCCCCATGAAAAACACATTTCCTAAGCAGGAAATAATTATCTAGGGTTTTAATTTTTTTTATATTTGTTTTTTAGTTGTAGTTGGACACAATACCTTTATTTTACTTGTTAATTTTTATGTGGTGCTGAGGATCGAACCCACATGTGAAGCGAGCACTCTACTGCTGAGCCACAACCCCAGACCTTATCTAGGGTTTTTAATTTAGGAAAATTTTTTCTTTCTCACTCTCTTTAGTGTAGTTTTTATTCATTTGTAGTACAGTTTGGTTCCCATATTTCTTTTGCAGAGAAGAGCAGATGCATGTTTGTTTTTTTCATATATCCCCTTATTTTTTCCATAAAGTATAGTATAGAATACTATGGATAGAACTTTTTTTAAGAGTATTTGAAGAATTTTTTATGAATAATCCTATTATTTTTTCCTGTTTCCAAATATTTTAAGAGTAAAGGCAATGACTAATCTTTTGTTTCTCATCTTATTAGAAGGTACTTCCCTGGGAAATTTGAGTAAATCGTTTATTTTTACTTTCTGCCCGGTGTTTTTGTTTATTTTTCTTTTCTTTTCTCTCTCTCTCTCTCTCTCTCTCTCTCTCTCTCTCTCTTGTTGTTGTTTTGGGGATTAACCCCAGGGATGCTTTTACCCTGAGCTACATCCCCGCCCCCCCCTTTTTTTTAATTTTTATTTTGAGAC